CTGGCAGAGTATGGTGCACTTCGGCCGAGTCCGATTCCGGAGAGAACGTGTCCCTCACTTGTCGGACAACTGGGTCGGGCGGTGCCGCGCTTCCGCTGGATTGGGCGCTTTCCATGCTGCCTTCGTGTTCTTGTTGGGCGCCCTGTGCGCCACTCTGATCCTCCATGCTCTGGTCACCGGTAGGTGCCTGGTTTTTCGTCACCTGGAGGGATTTCCACACTATGGTCTGGTGGGACATTGATAGTCAGTTTGCCAGGGCTCTGGTCATCGTCGTCAGAGTCTTCAGAGTCGGACTTCTGGGATGCCATGTCCTGATCCGGTTCATCCTCTTCTTCATCTTCTTCCGAGTCCTCTGGGTTGGAGTCCTCAGAATCCGAGTCAGAGGGTGGCGGGGTCGGTGATTTCTTGCCACGCCCCTTCTTGGCCGTAGTCTTTCGACTCTTTATTGAAGTGGCTGATGGGGCTGGTGAGGGAGGTCGGGACCGGCCAGCTGCGTTAGGCAGTGACACAGTGTCCCGAGGCGAGGGCCGTTGGCCTGTCGCGCGCATCTGCGCCTCCTGTTGTTCCTTTCGGAAGGCGTTCTCCCTCCGAGTTACCGATGGTCTCGGTGGCTTTTCTTTTGCCAGGTTCTTTGGGCCAGGCAGCTTGGCCAGTTGGGTCATGTCGTATGCCTCTTTGGCCCTGCCTTTTAGGTCTTTGGCCTTCGCTCCAACCGCTTTCCTTCTGCTCGAGTCCCATCTGGTGTCAATGTCGTGCGACACCTACAGAGACCGTTGGGTCTTCTGTGGGATAAATCCCGGGACAGCGAAGCGTAATGGTTCGGCGCGGAAGGCATTAGTGGTTTCCAGGACACCATCTCTGACCCAAGCCAGTATTTCGTTGATTAACTGGTCGCTGAGATCCCATGGGTTCGTCGTTCCCTGGTAGTAAAGGACGTTGATTGTCCTGGCTATATCCATCAAAGGAGAGCCTCTTGGGTCATGTAGATACCCAATGGCTCGGCAGACCTGTTGAAAGGTGTTGTCCCTGCTACGGGAAAGTCCAGATGGCCGATGGGCCACATGGATTTCTGCCATGCTGGTCCAGTCACGATGTGTGCGAACCAGCAGTCCTGAGTCCAGGATAAGAGTGACCACCCGCCGCATAAAGGGTGCCGTCAGTGTGCGGTCCGCGAGCGGGAGTCCTGTGAATTCTTCGCCGAGTGCCATACGGGTCCGAAGAACACTGATATAAGTCTCGGCCCGTTTCCCTTCTCATGATTCTGGCCAGTGCCACCCATTGTTCAGCGTAACCCGCTGGGATTTCGATGTGGGTGGCTTCTGGTCCTGGGTCGGGAAGTTCAGCTTCGTCGTCCCAAGGTGATGGGAGTATGACTTCCTCCGACTGCGTATCTTCATCGGGGACCGGTTCGAAGTCTTCGTCCTTGTATCCTTCTGGGAGTGGAGGTTTTGGCCTTGGTTGTGCCAGAGGTTGTGATGGCCCTGGTTTGTCCGGACTGTCCGATAGGACCTGGACATCTTCGTCGCCTGACAGCCGTTTCTCAAGCTGGGCGATTTTGGCCTCACGAGTTTTCTTGGCCTTGGTCTCTTCCTTCTTTTGGCGGTTCCTTTCGGCCTCTGGGTTTACTGGTGGCCGCGATGTGTCCGCCCGGCTCCCACTCGGTTGAGGGGATGTTGGACGAGAGGCCGGTTTGGCCCTCTCTGGTTTCTTGGCTTTTCTCGACTGTTTGCCTCTTTGTGAGTTGGCCGAGTGAATTACTTGTGCGCCAAGTGCCAAGTCCTCTAATGTCCCTGTTATAGGGAAGGATACTGGCTGGCCAAAGGGGATGTCATCCACTCTGGCTGGCATGGTTGGCAAGACAGTTGGAACAATGGCCGTTGGGCCTGTTCCTGCTTGGCTCTGGTCAGCTGGTGCCTTTGGTGGGGTTTTGGCCTTTGATGGTCCCGGTGTTGGCTCAGCTTGTGGTGTAACCACAACTGGCCCTGATGGGGATGTGTCCATCGGTTCCGGCTCTGGGGGCGCTTGCGCCTTAGGTGGCACCACTGTCGGTGCTGTTGATGATAGCCGTTCGGCCATCTTTGGGTCCTTCTCCGGTGATGGGAAGAGACGTCTGCGCCTTCGGTTCCAGTAATCTTCCACCATTCTAATCACCAGTCTGCGGAGCATTTCAGTGAGCATTTCGTAGTCTTCCGGCTTGTTCTGGTCCTTAGCCTCTTGTCTCTTCTTAAGGAGGTAAGGATATTGCCGTCGGTCGTTGTGCTCGGCATGGGCCACAAGGTGTCTCTGCTCCGTAGGAGTGAGGGCACTCATGGGCATCAAGGCCGAGTCAGCTTCCACCTGTTCGGTCGGAAGCTCAATGACGACTTTGGCTTTTGCCGTTTCAGGGGCCACAGGTGCTGGTGGCGGAATCCGTTCCACCGTTATGGTCATGACCGGCTGTTGAGAAGATGAGGTGTCCATCTTCTCGTTCTCTGGTGATTTGCCTGGCCGGCTCGGTGTGAACCGGGGAGGCGGTGGTCCTGGGGCCGGCATACTCGGCATGCGCGCTGGTTGTGATGTGGCGCGGCCAGTAGAAGTCCGTTTTTCGGGAGACAGACTTTTGCGAGGGGATCTCCTCGGTAGAGGAGATTTATCCCTCACGGTCTCATACAGGACACGTTGGACATCTTTGTCCAAATCTTCTTCGTCCTCGCTGGACAGAACGCCGTAATCGGCTGCCGGGAATTGAGGGATTTCCTCATCACTTTGGACCTCTTCCGGTGGGAGTTGGTCTTCCACTGGCTGGCCCGGTCTTGGGCGTGGTTCCACTGTCCAAGCTCTTGGGTTAATATGTGGCCCTCTGATGTATATCGCGTGTTCGATGATTTCGCCAGGCAGTTGGCGCTGGCGGAGGGCCTGGCTTTTGCCTGGCATAGCCCTAAGTCTTCGGATGAGGATATTCCGCTCCTGGACCAGTAATTGACAGCTCCGGTTGGTGCGGTCAATCTCGTGTTCGGTCAGGATCGGATCGCCTGCGCGGATCCGCTGGCGCGTGTCCTCTTCGGTCAGGTTCAAGCGTAGATCAACTTCTATGATTTCGCTTACGAGTTCGTTATGCAGGTCCAATTGATATTGGCTGGTTGGGCCCGGTGGGGTCAGCCGTATACGATGCCTCGTTTGAGGCTCGTCCCGTAAAGGTGCCGTTGTTCGCGATGGGATTGGCCGCTCCTCTGGTGGTGAGAGCACTTGGCCCTGTCTTGGGAACTTCTTTGGCGGTGATTTCTTCTTCTTGGTCGTTAGACCGCGAAGAACCAAAGTCGGTTGTTCTCTGGCCGCCAGTTTAAGAATGGGTGGCCCGGGCCTGGTAGGGCCGGGGCGTTCCAAGTCCATTGATGAACCACTCCCCGCGGGAGGAGTGGGCCTGGGATTTGGGTTCAGCTCCAAGTCCATCGGTGGCCCTCTCCATGCTGGGAGTGACCGTTGCGAAGGCGGCTCCTCTGCCTCTGGAGGAGTCCGTTTCTTCCTGGTGAACCTAGGCGACTGTGGCCCTCCAGTTGTAACTGGGGTGGCCGTTCTTTCGGCTGGCTTTCCTCCGGTCGATTTCCTGTCCGTTGAACGGACGACCAAAGTGCCGCCTGATGTATCGCCTTCAATTCGGTTTGGCGTGGGCGTGGTGTCTGATGAAACCGTTGGCTCATCTACTACCATTGGACTTACCGGTGCACCATCCGGTTGGACTGGTGCTGGCTCTGGTTGGGCCTGTTTTTCCGGCGAGAGCTCGAAAGTTTTGTCGAGCAAACTCACGTCCATTTCGGTGTCCTGTGGTGGAATCTCCATGCTAACGTCCGCGGTAGCGGTTTCAGCAGTGTCCACAGGTTGGCTTGGTGTTGGCCCAGGCGCGGTTGGTGCTGGGGCCACTGTTGGGGCTTGGACCAAAGTTGGGTCCGCCGATGTTGAGGCAACCGGTGCTTGCGCAGTGGTCGACGCCGTTGGCGCGGCCACTGGATCTGGTCGCTATTCATTCACTGGATCAAAGTCACCTGGGCGTTCCATTGGTGGCGGGCCATGTCGTTGGACTTTCCAGTAATCTTCGACGAATGTGCGGAGCCATCTTATGGTATGCTCCACAACAACCAACGAATCGCCGGTAGGCATCGTGTTGTTCGGTGTAAGTTCCCTGAGCAGAGCTACCCGGTGGGTTCCCTGAGCAGAGCTCTGCTGCTGGTGGGTCAGCCGGACCGCTTCTGGGTCGAATGGGCTGAGGTCCCGTATGCGGTTGAACAGGTGACGATATATATCCTCGGCGTCTCGAATCAGGGTTCTGACTCGTATCGCCACTGGAATCGTCATCTGGAATGTGCCTGTATCCAATCCGGTTAATCTTCTTCGGCGCCGGGCTTCTTCCTCCTCTCGCCATTGGTCGTAGAGGTCTCGGCGGCCCGATTCAGTGGGTTCTGCCAGTTAGATGATGCTGGCAATGGCGCCGGTTCTGGAAGTGATGGACTGAGCCGTTGTGGCTCGCATAATGAGTTCCAGGCGCTCCGCTATTTCTGGTGGTGGCTCCAGTTGGTGTGGCCTCGGTTGGGTTCGCCGTTCTGGCGCAACTGTGTGATCTGGCGGAGCCACAAGTCCTGGTAGAGGGATAGGGGCGGGCATGTCTAGCCATTCAATGTCGCTTTCAGTGTCCGCGTCCGATTGAGACGGAGTAGCTGGCCGGTTAAATGCTGGTCCCGCTGCAAGTGTCTCGTTTGAGACTTGCATGATGCGCCTGAATCTATCTCTCAGCTCTTCCGCCAGTCGACGGTCTGAGGACGAAGTTAGGAGTCCAGGATGAACTCCTCGTGTCGCCTGCCCCGGTCGGGTTTAGGCAGCACTCGTTGGAGTGCTCGGTCGATTAGGCCACGCTGGTATCTGCGGTTAAGGGAGTCGCGTGTTTGTGGTCCGGCGTTACCGGTGTCCAATGGCTTCTCCATGCAGCGTAGTATGGCCTTCCGCAGCTGGATTTGGTATGCCAGGAGGCGTTAAAGTTCCGCCTCCAGGGCAACTCTTCTGCGAATGGTGGCTATGTCCGTGCCGGTTAGGCCACGGATAACTGTACGGATTTCTTCCGTTAAGGCCTCTGCCGCGTGAAGTTCACGGTCCAGGGGCATTAAGTCCAGGTTGGCCCGTAAGTCATACGGGGATGAGGCTGGGTCACGCTGTTGTAAGCCAGTGGCCCTTGCCGCGTCGATTGGCGCGGGTGGGGCCATTGGTGCGGCTGAGGTTTCCCCTGTCGTAGCGGTTACTACGACTGTTGGGTTCAGCGGCTGAGGTGGTGCTGATGGCGCTGGCGGTGGGCGCGCCGGTGGTACGGAATTTCTTATCCGGAATTCGTGCGCCATCCTATGCTGTTCCAGCTGCCATCTCATTTCACGAGCTGCCTCCAGCAGGGCCGGACCGGTTTGGTCATGCAACGGTAATATTTCGTGCTGGGCCTGCCGGAGTGCGATTTCTTCTCTGAGTTCACGTGCTAAGCGTCTGAACTCATCTTGGTCCTTGATAATCCGCTTGACCAAGTCACGTTGGTGAGGGTCCTGGATGTTAAATCCGCGGATCATTTGCTCCAGTTCTTTTATGGAGTTCTCTACTTCCGCAAGGTTCTCTTGCAGAATGTAGAGTGGAGTTCTGCCATCGGCCAATGGTTCGTCCGGGGATTCAGACCGCAGTGATGGCGTTGACACCGGTTCAATCATGTCCTCGATGTCCGTGATTAGTGGTGGTGGCGGCGATGACACAGGTTCTGTCGGTGGGACAGTCTGGTCACGCCCGGCCAACACCGGGTTTGGTGCTGGCCCTGCAGTCGGGTCCGGTTCAATAAGGCCGAGTTGGGCCGCCATTGCTGGTGGAACATCTTCTGGCCGGTGGTATACAGTGTATACGCCATCCACAAATACCCGTAATGGGAAGTCGCGCATATCGCGATTACCCGATGTGGTTGGCTGGGATGGCTGCGGCTGTTCCGTTCGGAATGCCTCAAGTCCCGGTTCTGGGACCGGTAATGAAGGTTCAGTCGGCTCTTGAACCGTAGGTTCAAGTTCTTCCGCAGAAGAATCATACGGCGGTTCGCCGTATCCGCCATAACCGCCGTAGGGCGGTGGATATCCATAGGGTAGTGGCGGATATGTCCACGGTGGTGGGAATCGCCACTGGTTCTGGTCCGGCTGCGGCTGGTTCGAAGGTCCAGGCGCAGGATACGGTGGATATCCGAAGTTTGGGTTGTAGTATGGCGGCGGAGTGTAGCGTGGCCTCGGCCCAGTATGGGCCGGCGGAGTCTGGACCGTTGGTCCGACTGCTACTGTCGTAGTGACCGGCTGGTTGGCCGATTGACCACCATACAAGATTGGTCGCGGGCCTGTTGGGCCACGCGGCATATGTCGGACCGTTCGGCCCGACGAAGAGCTTGGCTGACTGCTGGCTGCTGCCGCATTGACCAGGAGTTCGGTATCATCGGAGAATGTCCCTGGTGGCCAGTATTGCGGCGGGATGGCCCGAGGTGGCATGGGCTGACTCCGCGGTAGCGGTGTATCAGCCCGTGGTCCGGGTCCGACTGACAAGTTGGCCAGCTGTTCAGCAGTTAAGTTAGCTCTGATATTCGGTACCTGAACACTCGGTGGCCGGTTGGACGACCGAGTGGAAGATCTGCCAGACCGGGATTCCGGTCTTAAGTAAGGATGTGATCGGCCGCTTCGGTCGGAGTCGTCAGAGCGGTCGGTGCGTCGTCGTCCTTCCATGGTTCTGTGGGGACACTGTTGCGAGACCAATTAAGCTACGTTAGACTCCTACCTAGGGTTAGTTTAGCGTTATAGGTTAGCTACTTCTAAGCTACCTATGTCAGATATGCGACCGATCCATAAAAGTTAAGGTTAGTTAGTTAAGATAGCGGGACTGCAGCGTTGGCTGTGACCAATATTAAAATTTTAAGCCAATTTAATTATTTTAAGTCATTCTGTCCAGCCTTATCAACCGTCTTATCCAATACGCCCGGTTCGAGCGTATTAGCCTTCTGCTTTTTGCTGGTTAAGCTTTGCTCTGATTTTTCTCGGCCCACAGTTATGCGGGTGAGAAGGTCTTTGTCTGCCTCATCGTCAGCAACTTTGTCCTCTTCTAGGACCTGCTGAGCCGTAAGGGTTGCCTTCGGCTTTTTATGTGTCTTTGGCCTTTTTGGCTTTTCAGGCAGCCTCTGACTTGGTAGACTTGGCTTGGGTTCTGGTTTGGACTTGTCAGGTGCGGCTGTTGATTTATCGGGTTCCGCAGGTACTGACTCTAGGTCGATGACGGCTAATGGCTGGTTCTGGAGTTTGGTCAAGGCTGGCGTCTCGAAATCCGGTTTGGTCTTCCGAGGCCGGCCACGGCCACGTTTTGGGGCCGGGTCTTCAGATTCTGGTTCGGGCCCTTTAAAGCCAGGTATCTTCAGAGTCTTTTGCTGCTCTTCCACAAATTTCTTTGAAGGGCCCTTTCCGGGCTTTTGCTTCTTCAGCAGCTTCTCAAGTGTGGTTGTTGCACCTTCCGACTCTGTCTGGTCTTTGCACCGTCCCGACTCCGTAGGTTCGGGTTCGGCGTCGCCGCCCTTCTTTTTGGTTGAACGGGTAATCCGGCGACTTGGGCCGTCCGGGTTTAGGTACGGCTTCAAGCGGTCGACACATACGGTAAGCTCTTCGCCGGTGTCTCGCTCTCGGATCCAGTAAGTGTTTGGCTTAGGAATTCCGAGGATGATGTAGATGCCCTCATACTTGTTTGGGTTGGTCGGGTCATCCACCATGTTCTTCAGGGTGACCAAGTCCCGCTTCTTGAACTCGGCCTGGGCCTTCTTTTTGTTGTAGATGGCCGCATCCCGCAGGAACCCTTCTTCGATGCGCGTTTTCGCGATTTCAAGCGCCCGGTTCAGGCGCTGCTGCATCCTCTGGACGTAACGTTCGTTAGTCGTGAATGTTTCTGGGACGTTGGTCCCAGCGAGGACGTCTTGTGGTATGGTCATTTCCCGTCCATACAGCATGTGGTATGGCGAGAATCCAGTGGTTGCGTGAACGGCACGGTTCATGCCGGAAATCGCGTAAGGTAAGGCCCGGTGCCAGCGATGTTCGTCGCCAGCTCCGCCAAAGCCACGAATTCCATCCCAGATGGTTTGCATCTGGCGTTCGACTTGGCCTTGGCCCTCCGGGTGATAAGCGGAACCGAACGTTTGTTCGATGCCGAAGATTTTCGCCACTTTGGCGAAGGATTTTGCCGTAAAATGCGTGCCCCGGTCGGAGTGCATTGTATGTGGCATGCCATACTTGAGGACAACTTCCTCGACGAAGAACTTCTCAAACTCTTTGGCCGAATTTGTTTTGGTCGGCCGAGCTATGGTGAACTTCGTCATCTGTTCGACCACTACGGCGATGTATCGGTACTTCTTGGTTTCCGTCACCGGTAATGGTCCTTTGAAATCGGCGAAGACGCGGTACCAAGGCGCAACAGCGTCAGTCGGCTGCAGCTTACCGTAGGTAGCTCGCCGCGGTACTTTGCCGAAGATATACGTCTGACATCGGTCGATGTAGTCGTGTATATCGCTGCTCATACGGTCCCAGTAGTACCTGAGCTTGGCGGATTCAATGGTCTTGCGGTATCCAAAGTGGTTCCCTGTTTTTCCGTCATGGAGGGACTGGATAATATTTTTCCGCATGAAGAGTGGAATGACAAGTCTCCGTTCGAGCTTGGCATTGATTTCGGTGAGTCGGTAGAGCACACCGTTATCTATCTGGTAGTGTTCAGGGAGTTTGGACCTTTTATCCATTTCGGTCTGGTGTTCCAACTCATAGACCTTCTTGGCCAGGGTTGGGTCCCGATGCTGCATCCGTCGCACTTCTTGCGCGGTGCGGTCCGTTACTTTCTCTGGACACGGTGGGACAACGGGGTCCGGTTCATCCGGTTTGGGCGCCGGAACATTGATGACCCGTATGTCCGCCGTGCTGAATTCGTTCCAATCACTGATTGCGTTACAATCAGGAAGGAGAGGTGTTTCCCATTCGTCTGTGGGATCCTCATCGGTTACTTGCCGCCGTCGCACCCTTATGACGCAGGCTGGAATCTCGTCTTTATAATCCTCGAGGTTAGGGACCTGGTCCATCTCTTCATGTGGGCCTTTATCGTCGTCCCGTTCGAGTGGCCATCTGGACAACGCGTCGGCGTTGTCGCAGAAAGTGCCTGACTTGTACTCAATGGTGATGTCCCTTTCCTGTAGGGCAAGGGCCCATCGAGTAAGACGAGGGTTGATGCCGGGCCGGTTGGACTCGCATCTGAGCAAGTTGGTCAGGGCTCTGTGGTCCGTCCTTACTGTGAAAGGTCCGTGATCGATGTAGTGTTTAAACTTTTGGACGGCCCACACTACGGCGAGACATTCCCATTCGGTGACGCCGTAGTTCTTCTCAGCTCCGTGTAGGACACGACTTGCGTAGGCGATTGGCCTAGAGTCCTGGCTGAGTATGGCTCCGATGCCAGCGCCACTTGCATCACATTCGATGGTGGTCTTTTTGGTGGCATCGAATTTGGCCAAAATTGGGGCTTCCGTTAGGGCCTTCTTAATTTCGTTGAACTCGGCGGTGTGGGCGTCAGTCCAGTCATCTTTGACCGAACTTTCCTTCCGCAGGAGTTCATACATCTTTGAAGTTTTCTGGGCGTAGCCCAGAATGAACTTCCGATAGTAGTTGGCGAGTCCAAGGAATGAGCGAAGTTGGCGCTCAGTCCTGGGCGGTTGTTTCTCGGCGATGGCCGCAACCTTCTCTGGGTCAGTATGGACACCGTCCTTGCTGAGGATGTGTCCAAGGAATTGGAGTTTCTCCATTCCGAATTCGCATTTCGACGGTTTTATCGTGAATCCGGCATCCCGCAGGCAGATGAGCGTATTTCTAAACGCTTGCCTGAATTCATCGAAGGTCTTGCCGAAGAATATCACGTCGTCGATGTATGCGAAGACGCCGCCTTTCTTGCGTGCTGGCGCCATTATCTTGTCCATGGTCATTTGGAATGTGGCTTGTCCATTGCAGACGCCAAACGGCATTCGTTTGAACCGGAACATCCCTTCTGGAGTCACGAAGGTAGTGTAGTCCATGGACGCTGGGTCCATTGGGATTTGCCAGAATCCGGACTGACAATCTACCTTGCCGTAGTAGGCGTTTCCTGCGCACTGATCCAGAAGTTCGTCTGGATTTTGCAATGGATAATTATTCTTTTTGGTCACCGAGTTCAGCTTTATGTATTTTATGCAGAACCGGGTGCCCATGGTTCCGTCGCCGTTTTTCTTCGAAGCGAGGACCAATGGGAAACTCCACGCTGCCATGGACGGTTCAATGACGCCTTGGTCCAGCATTTCATGGACGTGCTTGTTAATGAACTCTCGTCCCTTCCAACTCGTTCGGGTTGGGTTCATCTTAATGGGTGCAGCGTCGCCAACTTCTATGACGTGGGTCACTCCCTTTACGTCGCCGTAAGGTTTTTTGGACGTGGGGAATATGGCCCTGAGTTCCCATAAGTCCTGACGGAGTAAAGCGGTTCGCTCCTCGGTCAGGTGGTCGCCAAAATGTGCGTTGGCGATGTGGGCGCGGATTTACGCGTTCCACTTCTGGATCTTCCTCTCCGGTTTGGAGGGAATTGATCTGGGCGAACTCTTCGTCCGTGGCCTCTTCATATGGCTCTACTCGGCCCATGTCCACACCCTTTCGGAGTATGTGGGTTTCCTTCGAGTAGTTCGAGACCAGTATGGTGAAACTTCTGCCGTCATGCTGGACTGGTCCGTCCAGCATGGCCAGACTCCGTTTGGTGTCCTGGCTTCCAAGATACATGAGTTTCTGCCTTGGGTCAACGGCGAAGTCAATGCTGACTTGGACCGGTGTAATGGACTCCGGTAGGAGCTCCGTTTTTACACTGGCCCGGACTTTGGCATAGTCAGTTATGGTGCGTTGTCTCTTCGGATTGTGTCCCGCCTCTTTTGGCCATGGTAGGGCGCTGGCGTTGGGTATGGACCAATCCACGCCGTCCTCTCTGATGTCTGGCTCGTATATGTCACTGTAGTACATATGGCCAATTCTTGCACCTTTACGGAGGACTTGGTCGCGTAGAGACTTATTTTGGATCTGGATCCATGCGTGCTCGTCTTGACGTGTTTCTACCTCCGCCTCGACCGGTAGGAGTTGGCCGTGTGGTCGTCGTAACGAGTTGAAGTGGATTGGACGCTTTGGATCCATGGTTCGGTATGTGCGGACCTTAACCCAGCAGGTTGAGTAGGCTGGTATGGTGTACCGCTTATGGACGAAGACGACTTTTTTTTCTTCTTTAAGGCCGTCCATTTGCCGCTGCAGCCTGGTTCGGCGAACGGTTGGTGCTTCGGCCAGACGTTGACGAAGGGTTGGGTCGTCTTCATCATCACTGGATTTCTCCGATGATTGGTTCTCGGAGTCAGTGTCCGGTGAGTCACTCGAGCTTTGGACGTCCGAATCGGTAGACTCGGGTTTGTAGTCCTGCTCTGGCTTTGGCTCGCCTTTGTCCTCGTTAGAGGTTGGCTCGCCGCCGGTCACCGTTGGTGCCGGTTCAGTCACGAGATCCGGTTCTCGGTTCTCTGCCGACTCGGTTTCGACTTCCTGGTTCTCAGGTTCGTCCGGGTCAGCCGGTGTGGTTAGACGGTCCCCGTTAGGGAGTGGTGAGGCTGGTCGGCCTCCGGTCCACCGCTGAGCAGCACGGGTCTGGATGGCCCGTATTATTGCTTCAACGCCGTCTCCACATAGAGGACAAGTCAGTTGGACTTCCTCTGATGAAGGGTCCTGCGTTTGGCTGGTGTCCCTCCTTTGGCCTCCCTGTTCCGGGTGTGGGCCATCATTGAAGCGCACTCTTGTCGCTATGTGCGGTGCAGCTTCTGGCAATGGTGCCGGTATGGTCCTGACGTTGGTCACGGACAAGTCATACTTCGGCCATATGCTGGCGGTTACGCCAGGGTGTTGGGCCATATTCTTGTGAAGTTTTATAATTTCGTCGAAGAGGTCAGGGCACATCCGTTGGAGTGCTTTTGGGGTTTCCATGTGGTACTCTTTGTATTCCCACAACAGGGCTAGAAGTTCGTCCTCCCATAGTTGTCCCTCTTCGAGGAGTTTGTCCATTTCTTGGGCAAACGGTCCGTATTCGGCTCCAATCTGCGCCCACGTTTGTGGCACGCCTTTTTCTTCGAGCCAGCCCTCTTCTAGGGCAAGAAGTCGGTCAGCGCGGTACTCGAGGAAGTTTCTCACCCCGATGAACCAAGTTTTGTAACGCTGGACCAGCTTCTCCTTAATTTCTCTGTCAGGCACCGGCCGTTGGGCGGGTGCCTCTGGTATCGGGATAGTCTTTACTATCCCGTGATTTGGCTTGAGTATGCCAGAGCGGAATTGGTTCATGTAGCTCTCAATGGCGTTATGGACGCGCAGCTCCCAGACGAGGCTATCAATGGTGTCCAGGCATTCCGAGCAGGTAGAAGTTTTTTGTGGTCGGGTGATCAGTCCGATTTACCCTTACTTCATTGTCGGATCCCGGTGCCTCTGGTATCGGGATACACTTTACCGCGTCCCAAACGATTTCTTCGTTTGGCTTCAGAATGAAGGTAAACTTGGAGTGAAGGTAATCACATCCAAGTAAGACTTGCACGTCCGTAGTCGTCGGTTGGACGAAGAACGTGTGGTGGCTTTTATATCCCTGCAATGTCACCGGTACGGTGCAGCAATGGGAGACCACAAAGGCGGTTTGACCGCCAACACCAAG